CCCCCCCCCCCAGGGGAACAGGCCAGGAAGGCGCAGATAAACATGGTTAGGCCTGGGAAACCTAGGGCCTCAATTCTCTTCCTTTGTATATAAAACGAAATGAATTTTTTGTGTAAAGCAAACATCTGTGGAGTCATGGGCAAAAGTTGTGTGTGTTTTTAAGATAATAATTGAGATTTCAAAGACTTTCTGAACTGTGGCTAGCAACTTCAGCACCTTGTGGGGACTGCTTTCCCCCACTCCAGGGTGAAGCAGGGGAAAGGAAGGAGTGCTGGCTTCAGGAGGGCTGACTCTTAACTTGGTTTCCCCATCTTCAAATTGGACACAAGGGATGGGGTAGCAGAGACCTTCTCTGAGGCCTCTGAGGCCTGGGTTCTACCCCAGTCTGGAAGAGAGGGGTCTGGGGCCCCGCAGACTCCCCATGGGTCTGCCTTCTCCTCCCACAGCTGATCTACGATGCCGGCGTGTCCTTCGTGGTCATCATGTTTACCTGGTCAGCCCTGGCCTGCCTCATTTTTCTGAACTGTGCCCTCAATTGGCCCAGTGAAACCTTTCCCTCCCCTGAGGAAGGCAGCTACACGTGAGTGGCTCTGTTGGAGGCACTGGGGTGGAGGGGGGACCTCTCTCCTGCAGAGGGGGAGGCCAGGGGTGTGGTGGTGTGATGGATAGAATGAGCTTTGGAGTCACAGAGACCTGGGTGTGCAAGTTGCCTGAGCTCTTGGAGCTCTGCTTTCCCCTCACCGTGGGCCTGATCCTACACACCCACGGGCTTTTGGAATAGACCTGGCGCATAACAGGCAGTCAAAACATGGGGACTGCTATTATTGTCCTTTCTGGGTTTGGAGGACAGGATCAGAGTAGGAGCGACTCCAGCAACAGCCATGTGGACCCAGAAGGGGGACAGAAAGGAATCAAATATATACTCTTTATGAGGCAGCCTGGGAAATGCCAGCCTTTCCCAGATCCCTGTCAGTTCACCAGGGATGTGTGTGTGTGAGTGTGAGTGTGAGTGAGATGCTCCACAGCCAAGCACACATGGTGCCTGTCAAACAACTGGCATTTATGGAGTGTCTCCTGTGTGTGCCAGGCAATGCACTCAGCCCTCATGCCATTCTCAAGAAGCCCTATGGCATGGATTCTGTCATTAACTCCATAATAACAAAGGTGTGGGGAACAAAGTGACTTTCCCAAGGTCACACCTTTGAAAGGGGGGTGAACCAGGCCCTCTGACTCCAGTCTGAGTTTTTCATGCTGTCTCCGTGGCAACAGCCCCAGTGGAAAACGACTCATCCACCCCTCATTTACTGGGCGCTAAGCCGGCTCCTGGGCCAGGTTCTGAGGGACTCAGATGTGAGCTCTGCACTAGGGAGGTCATCAGGGGGCAAGTCAGTGCTGGGCAAAGGGGTGCTCAGCGCCCCAGGGATGACTGGGACAGCCCCCTAGAGGCAGGCTGTTGAGGATGGGCTCTGCTGGGCTGGTCACTACTTTCTCCGGCCTGGTTGCCGGCAGGAAGAAGATCAAGCTCACCGGGCTGGCCCTGGATCACAAGGTGACCGGTGACCGCTTCTACACCCATGTGATCAACGTGGGCCAGCGGCTGAGCCAGAGGGCCCCCAGCATGGAGGATGACACCTCCCAGGATGTTCATGGTGCCTCAGGAAAGCCTCGTGAGAGTGAGTACCTGGTCCGGGTGCCAGCCTTTGGGGTCGGGGAAGGCAGGTCCTCATGCTTAGTGAGCACTCATGCCCAAGGGCTCATCTCCCCTCTTCAGTTCTTACACCACATGCTGTAGGTGGGCAATCCCCATTTACCAAATAGAGGTTGGGGGGGGGCATCAGAGCTCAGAGAACTCTGGGAAGTCCGGATCCAGGGATACTCTGCTGGATTCCTGGGCTGAGGGAGAGAGGATGGGGCAGGGTCTGCAGGCCTGTGGGGCAACTGGTTTCATCGGGGCTCTGTGCAACCTCTGAGCCTCTTGCATCAGGTGAGCTGGGCCCTCCAACACCTGGCTGGCTGACGCCCCCTACTGGCTTCATGAGGAGCCGTAATCTGCCTTCTGCCTGGGCCACTTCCCAAGGTGTGGGCTCTGAGATTAGTGGCAGGAGCACCTGCCTTGGAGTCGGGAGATGGGGGTTTGAGTCCTGCTCCCCAGTTATATGCTGAGTGATTTAGGTAGATCACTTAACCCTGCTCTCACTTTCCTCATCTCTTAAACTAGCACTAGTAACACCCATCTCAGGGAATTAGTTGTGAGGATTGAATGAAGCCATGGACACAGAAGCCCTTTGTAAAATGCAGAACCCTGTGCAGTTACTAGGGTGGTCTCCCCACTGCTGGTTCTCCCATGGCTGAGTTATGGGTGTGAGCTGAGTCTGGCTGACTTGCAGCTCCCAGCCCCGTGAGCTCGGGCAAGTCATCGGCCTCCGAGCGGCAGTGTCCCCATGTGTAATATGTGGCAAAGGTAGGGGTGTTGCACAATTGGGTTAAGTGGGATAACGTGTCGAGTATGTGGCACATAGTAAGTATGTAATAAATAGTAGCTGGAGTTATTATTATCACACCAAGCATATGCTTTTACATTCAGAGGTCGCCTGAAAATGTTCTGTTGAGATAGTTACAGAACTGGGCAAGAACTTGGAGGCCAGCGAGTCTGAGCCCTTGTTTTTGAAGAAACTAGTTTTTACCCTAAGTCTCATGCCTTCGCTAGAACTGCATGGGCTGGTACATTCCAAGGGAAATGGGAGATCTGGGACTCAGGGGTGCCCCCTGCTGTCTCCCCAGAATCTATCCCCTTCCGTAAGAGCCTCTGCTCGGCCATCTTCCTGTGGAGCCTCCTCACTATGGGCATAACCCAGCTGCGGGTCATCTTCTACATGGCCGCCATGAACAAGATGCTGGAGTTCCTTGTGACCGGCGGCCAGGAGCATGGTGAGGTGCTGCTGAGCCCACCGTGGGCACAGGAGGGTCACCCTGGTTGAGCTCCTCTCATCCTGGCTTCTCCCCCTGCTCCCCCAACAGAGACGGACTACCTGAAACAAAAAGCAGAAGAGACAGGTAGGGGGACGAAAGCTGAGACCCTGGCCTGCACTCACCCTGCCAGTGCCCACTTGGCAGGGAGCCTGGACCCACCCTGTCGTTTGGGAGCTCTAAGGATGTGGGGTCAGGAAGGCTATGTTGGCATTCCCTCTTCTCCCCTGGAAGTGGGTGGTGGTGCCCACTGGGCTGCTGGCATCCCTCGTGCCAGCTCTTGACCCCACTTCCTTCCTGCGCTGCCCAGTTGGGTTCTACTCCTCTGTCTTTGGGGCCATGCAGCTGCTATGTCTACTCACCTGCCCTCTCATCGGCTACATCATGGACTGGCGGATCAAGGACTGCGTGGACGGCCCCGCTGAGGGCATCGCCCTCAGAGACGCCAGGTGACCCGCACAGGGATGGTGGCAGCATGTCATTAGACAGTGCTTTTCCTTTTCTGTGTGCTCTCATATCCAGCATCTTCTTTCATTCTCCCAAGAGCCCCTAGAGAGCAGAGGTGCCTCCCCATGTTATAGATGAGGAAACTGAGGCTAAGAGGGGACATGGCCTGCTTGATAAGCACCTTGCATTGGCTTATTTAGTCTGCAGTACGTCTCTGAGGTAGGTACGTTATCCTCAGTCCATAGATGAGGAAGATGAGACACAGAAAGGTTAAGTAACTTACTCAAGATCACACAGCTTTCAGTAGCAGGCTCCGGAACCTGTGTTATAAAGGGTACACTGTAAAGCCTTCTTAAGGCTAGGAAGAGATAGGGTAGGTGTATTAGCACCTATTACTGTGTAACAGATTACCCCCAAACTTGGCATCTTTAAACAACAATCTCACATAATTTCTGAGAGTCAGGAATCTAGCTCAGTGGTCCTCAGAGTCTGTTTGGGCTGCTATAACAAAATCCCACAGACTGGGCAGCTTATGAAAGACAGAAATTTACTTCTCACAGTTCTGGAGGCTGGAAGTCTGAGACCAGGGTGCCAGCATGGTTGAGTGAGGCCCCTCTTCTGAGTTGCAGACTTCTCACTTCATCCTCACATGGCAGAAGGAACTAGGGAGCTCTTTTGGGCCTCTTTTCTAAGGGCACTGCTCCTGTGATGAGGTCTCTACCCTCATGACCTGATCACCTCCCAAAGGCCCCACCTCCTAATACCATCACTTTGAGCACTAGGATTTCAACTTGTGAATTTGGGGGGATACAAACATTTAGACCGTAGCAGGCTCTCTCATAGGGTTTCAGTTAAGTTGTCAGCCAGGCCTGTAGTCATCTGAAGTGGGGACGGGGGTTGGCGAATCTGCTCCTACACTCACGTGCTGTTGGCAGGAGGTTCGGTCCTCCCCACCTGGGCCTCTCTGCTGGCTGCTCAGGACCGGGGCTGCTCAGGACCAGGCAGCTGGCTGCCCCAGAGCAAGGTCTAAGTGGGGAGACCAAGACAGAAGCTGCAGTGTCTTTGTAATATAATCTCAGAACCACACCATCATTCCCGTCATGTTCTGTGGGTCACACGGAGTAACCCTGGTGCAGTGTGGAAGGACTGCACAGGGTATGGATACCAGGAGGCAGGGTCACTGGGGCCATTTGTTGGCTGAAAACCACCGCTGAGTCTTGAACTGAGGTCTGACTGCTGTGCTTTTTGCATTAAGCCAATAGTCTCCTGCAAGGCCAAGAGAGGGAAATGAGGAGGGAAGGTATCTAAGGAGCCATCAGTGGCTTCCCTTCCCACCAGCAGTGCCCTGGCCCTGGCGCCAGCCTTTCTCCTCTGCCGTCTGCTCCTGGTGGCCAGGGTCCATGAGCAGGGCCCTTCTGTCTAGGACCAATGCCCACTTGCCCTCATTCTAGCCTACTGACCTCTCCCCTGGGCCAGCCCTTGGCGCAGAGAGGGGCTTGCTGGGCAGTCACACTTGTCCAGGCTGGTGGGCAGAGATGCTTTCCTGATGAGAGACAGTGTGAGAGTCCTTCATTCTCTACCTTCCTTGCCATTCCCAAGTCTCAGACGTCAGTGTGCACATGGGATCTCTGTCTAAATGCAGATTCCTGGGCCCTACTCCCAAGGTCTAGGCTGAGGCCCTGGAACCTGCACTTTTGAAAGTCCCCAGGTAATGCTGGTGTAGTTGGTGGGGGAGGCACGCTTTAAGAAACGCAGGGCTGGAGAACCAGTGCTCCCCGGCTGGCTGGCGGCAGCAGCCGCCAGTGACGCTCTGTTCTCGCAGGGACGGGATTGCCACCAAGTCCATCAGACCGAGATACCGCAAGATCCAGAAGCTCACCAACGCTATCAACGCCTTTACCCTGACCAACTTCCTGCTTGTGACTTTTGGCATCACCTGCCTCATCAACAACTTACACCTCCAGGTACCCACCTCCGCCCTCCCCACTTTCCCTGCCTCTCAGACTCCTCCAAAGGGACCGTTTGGATGGTTCTCTGTGCCCGCTTTCCAGGAAACGTGGTTCTGTCCTCTGGGTCTACCTCCTGGGTTTTCCAGGGAGTGTTTCTAGCAGGTTGGGTCGTGGAGAGGGTTGGCATGTGTAGGTGGGCTCGGGGAGGTCCCGTTTCTGTCTGTGGGTCACCATCCATCCCAGCTTACACCTTTCCCTCTCCCTTTGGGTTTCAGTTCGTGACCTTTGGCCTGCACACCATTGTTCGAGGTTTCTACCACTCGGCCTGTGGCGGCCTCTACGCTGCAGTGTGAGTCAGCCTGGGCTGAACTGCCTTTCTGAGCTTTCCCCCCATGAGCAGAGGGTCCCAGAACAGAGTGAGAGGGCCCCAGCCACCCCTTAAGGCACCCCTCCTGCCCTGCTAGGCATGCCCTCCCCAGCCTCCCTGGAATGCTGATGTCTCCGAGGATGGGGTAGATGGAGAGGATTGGTGGGGATCTTGGAGGCTCTCTGGTCCACCGCCCCTCGGAGCTCCTCTAATGATGGGGAGCTCACTTCCTCAGACACAGCCCACCCCACTGCGGACAAATCCACTGTCAGGAGGTCTTCCCTCCGACGAAGCTGAAATGCTTGGTTTGGTGACACTTGAGTCCTATGTCTGCTGTCTGGAATGGCCCCCAAGTGGATTCTTTCCCCATGTAGAAATTCCAGACCACAGTTCTGTTTGCTTTATAATTTTCCTACTTCCTGTTGCATGGCCCTCAGCTCCCCTTCTTTCTCTTCTGATTCCCACTGCCAGGTGCTGCCCAAGGGACTCTCCCCTGTGTATGTGATGCAGTAATATAGGATATTACAATAGCAGTGACAAAATCATGACCGTTATTGAGTATGTGTTCTGTGGCAGGCAAACTGTAGGACACCTGACCAGCACCCCCTAATGGAAACCTCACAACAGCAACCACAGCTCCATCCCCTTCACTGGCTCACACTGAAACTGTGGGGTCACTCTTAATTCTTTGCCTCCTCACACCCCACATCCAATCCAGCAACTATCCTGCCCCTTCCACATCCAACCCTTCTTACCGTGTTCCCAGCCCTGCCACCCCTGTCCTGGCTGCCCTCGCCTTCCCTCGGGCTATTTATAACACAAGGGCTGGAGACACCTGTTAGGACATAAGTCTCTTCATGGCACCCCATGGCTTTCTGTCTCGTCTCACTCAGAGAAAAAGCCAACGGCTTTATTATAGCTTAAAAGGCCCTACAAGATCTGGCCCGGGACCTGTCTGCCCTCTTCCTTCCCCCTTCCCCTATGGCCTCACACACCCCGAGCATGTTCCCTCTTCCAGGATCATTCTTCCTCCAAGGCTCATAGCTGTCTCACCTTCTCTAGGTCTTCACCTAGCTGTCTCCTGGCCATCCTATCTACAACTGCACCCCCTCCACACCCTCCCGTCTTCTCTGATTGACTTCTCCCCTTGGCTCTTATCTCTGGCTAATACATGATGCCTTTATCTCACTCATTGGGTAACTACCGCCCACCCCACCAGAATGCTGCCTCACAAGGGCAGGAATCTTGGTTGGTTTGGTTCATGGCTGAATCTCCACACACCTAGACTGGCACCTGGCACATAGTAGGAGCTCAAGAAATATTTTTAAAAAGAATAAATGTGCAGCCCAGTGAGGCTAGGGCTAGCCCTGTTTTTAGTGGAGGAAACTAGGCTCAGAGAGGTTGAGTTACTTGCTGTTATTACATGGACAGGAGGTGTCAGAAGCCAGTTTGGTGGCCCTGTAGTCACAGCATACACCCTCCAGGCCAGGGACCAAAGAACACACACAAAGAGCCTGAACTCTTAAGCTCTACTCTGCCTGACTGGCAGAGAATGGGGTATGCGGAAGGGGACAGGCTGGTGCCAGGCAGGAGAGGGCCACACGCCCTTCATGCTTGGCTCTCTTCTCTTTGACAGGTTCCCGTCCAACCACTTTGGGACACTGACAGGCCTGCAGTCCCTCATCAGTGCCGTGTTTGCTCTGCTCCAACAGCCTCTCTTCATGGTCATGGTGGGACCCTTGAAAGGAGACCCCTTCTGGGTGAGGACTGGGGTGACATGGGGGAAGCAGGAGTCCCCTTCCTGGGTGCAGCCCAGGAGCTGGGGGTGAGGGGGGCTTGTATGTGATAGAACCCCTCCTTCCTCTCATCTGGTCCAGGAGGTGCCTTGCAAGTCTGTAATCCAGGGCTCCCAAGCTGGCTGCTCGTTAGAACTCCTTGCCGAGTGTTAACTCACATTCCCCAGTCTGCTGAATCAGCGGCTCGTGGCCTCGGCCCAGGAGCCTGTTTCTAATAAGCTCCCTGGTGACACGCGGAATGGCCCAATCCTCATCTGATTCAGTTCCACCCAAAGCAGGAACCCCCCAGCACCTCCGACAAAGGGGTCCCTCCAAACCCCCTCAGGGACTGGGGCCATCCCTGCATGAGGCAGCAGCCTCTGGGACTGTGGGGAAGGCTTTTCCGTACAGTGAACTGACATCTGACCCCTAAAGCCCATCTCCCATAACTCCCATAAACCCTTCTCCCACAAGGACGCCGATGAAGTGACAGCTACCACTTACGGAGCGCTCTCTAGGTGCTAAGCACACCGTCCGCTTTTATCGCTTAATCTTTGCCACAGTGGCTCTGAGAAGGAGCCACTTTGAGTTGAGGTGACTTGCCCAGAGACCCAGAGCACTGCCCAGAGCCATGTAGAGCGGGATGTGAACAGAGTCCGAGCCGTGTGAAGCCACCGTGCTGGGCCTCTGAGCCTTCTGTCCTTTAGGCTGAGCTCCCAGTTCCTGTTACTGCCTGGGAGCCCCTTCTCACCACCCGAATGATCCCACTGTCAGTGTCCCCAGTGTGGGCACTGGCACTAGCCAGGGTTCAAACCAGGCTCTGCCGCTTTACGAGGCCACTCAACATTAAATGAGATACCATTGGGACAGTGATTGAACACACTAAGTTCTAGCTCTGTTTGTCATTCTGGCCCAGGACCTGGAGAGGAGCGGCTGCCTTCTGCTTCCCACTGGAGGCTGTGGCGGGTCCCTGAGGAAGGTGAGGAAGAGCAGGAACCTCCTTGACTCTGTCTCTCTCTTTTTGCCTCAAGGTGAACCTAGGCCTCCTGCTCTGCTCATTCCTGGGATTCCTGCTACCTTCCTACCTCTTCTACTACCGAACCCAGCTGCAGAGGGAGTACACCACCGACTGGGAGGGCCCACTGAAGGTACCGGGCAGCTCCGAGGTGACTGTGTAAACCTCTGCGGCCAAGGGACCTGGATGACAGGCAGCCAAGGCCTGAGCTACCAAAGGGAACGCCTCATGTGGCCTTTCTACCTGTAACACATGCACAGCGCCAGGGGCCGTGGATCTATAAATACCAAGAGAAGTTCTATTTTTGTAGGGACTTGCTAAAAGAAAAAAAAGAAAATCCCTAAAAAGGAATGCCCCAAAGCAATACACTCTTGACTAAAGACAGCCAGCCCCTGTGCTAGGACAGGCTTCTTCCTCCTGGATTGGAGGAGAGCAGGGTGGGAGGCCATCCTTTCAATGGGCCTTCCTCCTCCTGGTGCCTCCTGGGGGCTTGTGGGATCAGCAAACAGGCTACCCCCAAGGTCCCAGCTGTGCAATGCCGAGAGTGTGCATGTGACTGTGTGCACCTGTGTGTGTGTGTGTGTGTGTGTGTGAACCAACCTTCCCCTAGGGGAAAGGGGCCTGAGGTGGCTGTGTCCTGGGTGGGGTGTGTCGGGGGGTGAGCCCCTTCCAGGGGCTGGAGGGCGGGTTCCCTCCCTGGTGCTGCTTCTTGCAGATCTCAGAGGAAATAAAAGGAAGGTGAGAGACTGGCTGGTATGTGCCCATGTCTTCCCACATCCCCACCCATCTCCCTCACCCAGGTTCGGCTGGGCATAAAGTAGGATGCCCAAAATGCCAGCCTGTCTACTGCTGGCTGGCTGGCTCACCTCCCTGCTCTCGGCCATGCCCTGTCCTTGGAGTCTGGATCCAGACCCTGCCCTCTGCTCCTGCCCCCACTTCCCCAGGTTTGGGGTACATCTGGGAGGTTGGCCTTTTTGCATACAGGGGGTCAAGGGCACGATGCTTTAGAAAGAATGGACTTTCCTACAAAACTGTCCTTGGGGGCCTGTTGAAAGTAACTTTTTAATAGTGTCCTAAAACGTCATGCAAATTTTGAGCTTCCCTTTATACTATATTTACATTTACTTTTAGCATTAAAGTGAGGCTTTAAAATTACCTGCATCAAGAAAAGATGCCATCTTTGAGGACAAGGGATATTACAGGAAGATATATCTCATTTATCCTGCCCCTACACCTGTTTGGGTCCCTGGGACATGAGTCTCAGAGGCTAGAGTAAGTCACAGAATGGAGGGAGGGGCAAGAAGGGGCACTAACATTTGTTGAGGACCTGCCTGTGCTGCACAGTTATCTCGTTTCGTCCTAATGACAGCCCAAGAGGCCCTTAACGTCATGCTGACAGTTTAGGGCACAAGACCAAAGGACACAGCTGGTAGGTGGTGGAGCTGAGTTTGGAACCTGGGCAGTCTGGCTGCTGAGGCCCAACCACAGGCCTGCCAGGGCAGTCAGGGGCAGAAGGGAGGCCCCAAGCTTCTCAGCCCAGCTCTCAGCTGTCCTCCCAGGGCTGAGAGTGACCTCAAAGGCCTCACCTACCTTCCCCCCTCAAACAAAACTTGGAAAAACCCCAAATGTTAGAGCCTAGAAGACAGTATTGCAGATGAGCTGTTCCTCTGTCTTAAACTCTCTTTAGACGTTAATGAAAAAGACGCACCTGCCCATTTTACAGATGAGAAAACATGTCCAGACGGTCTGGAGACTTGGAAAATTCACGCAGCAGATCTGAGCCCAGTCTCCTGGACCCCAGCGCTGCCCTTTTGGTAAAATACCAAATCGGAATTGGACAGCACACACCAACGGGTTGGGTGGGTTCCCAGAGGGCCTGCCGGGGTCTGACCGCACTTTCTGTCCCGGGCCTTGACTTTCTGAAGTCTGGTGTTGGTTGACTGCTGGGGGCTGATCCGCAGCGATGCGTGGCCGTGGGATCCCACCCGGTTCCCGGTAAGGGCGGGCCCAGGAAGCGCAGCGCGCGCGGGGTACCCGGTGTGCCCAGCAGGCGGCGCTGTGCGGCTGCAGCTGGGACAAGGTGGGGAGAGCGGGGAAGGCGAGTGGGCAAGGGAACCCCCGCACCCCCGCACCCCAGCACCCTCACACCGGACCTGCGAGCCTGCCCCCCCTGGGTCTCGACCTCCAGCCCCCGACCCTGGCTTGCTCTGCCCCCCTTGGCGATCTCTCCACGCCCTACCCGGTCCCCAC